CTTTCGCAATCCCGCATGTAAACGCAAGGTCTGCAGCAAACAGATACCTAATTTTATGTCAATATAGTCTTAGCACGTCGAGCGCTTGTCGCAAAGGTTGTGTAGGGAACCTGTTTCAAACGTTTCCGCAACCGATAAGCACTGGTAATTGCCCCACCAGCCACAATGAATATTGTCGATATCAAGTACTTGTTGACACCGAGATGCTAATTTCATTTGTTGAGATTCTACAAATGCTTTAAAACCTTTTATTCACTTGCGTGATCGTTTAATATATGCCGAAGATTGCGCATCTTACTGATTTGTTTACGACCGTGATCACAGCCCGTCGTTAAGTTGCCCGTATCAAAGTTACCTCACTCCGCCACGTTAATGAAATTGGGCGTTTTATTACGCCAACAGGGGGATACTCTCCTTTTATCTTTGCTTAATGTGCGTCAAGGAAACGATAAAATTTGTCCTGGACTTAAATCAGTTTACCAAATACAAGACAGGCCGATTGTGTTACGTTCTGGATCTGTCGGATACAATTATCTCCCCTTGCCCTTGGTTCAAGGTCACGTATATAATCTTTAGATAGTGACGGGTGAAGAGAACGTTAACAATAGGATGGGAATTAACGACAGCCTTTGTCGAGAAAACTACCATGATTAATAGCCGCGGGTGTTAGGGGGATCAGTAATGATAATTAACAGCTGCTTTTTCAAGACAATTTTCAACGTTTTAGATTAATCACGTCATGAGTCCTAACGTGTCTAATGGCTTGGGTAACACTGACAATTACGATACATTTCAAGCCCAAACACATGTGAATCCATTAACCATATCACATTTGGCGATAAGCCGTTAGATCAGTCATGTGAAAATCTGTGTTTGATGACATATCACAGGGCGTGTACCTTTCCCAGTGACCAACTCACTCGTGTAATTCCATATTAAGCACGTAATAATCTCACACACATTCATTAACCTATTTACGAATTCAAAATTAGACACTTTCGGGAAGGGTCATCCCCAAAGCACCTGCTTAACATCTTTCTGCTCACATATTGCCGACTTTTAATATCTTTAATGCATGTTAAGAGATGTAAAAATATTCTCCAACAGCTACCTTCCATGTCTCTCTTCACTAGGGGTAGGTATTGCAGAGTTTTCATATTGCGATATATTTCGATGCGAAAGCATGTATTGCGATATGTATTGCAATTTATTACCCACGCGGTCAACGTATAGGTAGTTGCATACTAATCTCGTACGTCACACGAGTGTCGTATCGCGTTGACCTGAGTCGTAACAACTTGACCTGAGATTCTAACGATTTGATTGGATAACCGATGACCTCTCAGTTAGGTCACATTCTGACGTAACTATTTTTTCATTCATAACAAACACGTGAATCCATTCATTCTACAACTTAAATGCATTGTGGGAATGTAAACATCGCGAACGTTGCCATGTCGCTGTTTAATTGTGAGCCGAACTGAGACATTATACCCGTCGAAAAACGTAAACGCAATGTTTCCACCAGTGATGTTAGCCGAATGAAGCAACTGCAAACCAAGAAACGGGGTGCTACGGAGTAGTTTACAGTATAACTGTAGGAGGCTGTACGAGGCGATGACAACTGACATGCATCGTGACGTCGGTTAATAAGGCAGTGACGTCATTACAGTGACGTCATGCAAATATTGTACTACAGTGCAAAACTCTTCCGCAACCTCTTTATGAAACCGGTTCTGGTTTGAAACAAAAATATTAACAAAAATACGCTATTTTGTCAATTTAATGCATGTAAGACGTGGGTAATAAATAAAATACCACACTCGGTCTCATTACATACGAATTATACGAAACTCGTGACCTTCCTATGGTATCTGACCGAGCGAAAGCGAGGTCAGATATCATAGGAAGTATTGAAGGAACACTTTTCGTAAATTCATGTAAAACCTCGTAGTATTCTCTATATATTACATGAAGTATTTTTAAACAAAAACTACTTATAATCGAGTTACTTCTTGATTTATAGAGCAAAAACACAACAAAATCACTAGGCTTGATTAAGCTTTAATAACAACTTTTAATCATGATAAAATAAAAATGTGAATAATATTTGGCACAAATGAAACAAGGACATATCCGAACATTTCGGAGTGTTACGAAGTTTTCCGAATGCAAGTCAAAATACCGGTTTTCGATCAGCGTATCGCAATACGTATCGTTTTCATGTCTGAACCGGTAAATACCGGTAAACCGGTTATATTGCGCAGCCCTACTCTTCATCCATAAAGTCTTGTCATCTCTCGATGACAGTTTGATCAAATCTTGGCAAGCCTGGTACACATCTTCCCGACCTCAGTTAACCTTCCTATTGGTTTTCGTTACTTTGAAAGAATTTTAATAATATGTATAATAACAAACCGTGTCTAAATGTCACGATGGTATCATGTTAGATAGGGCTACACTATGTGCTTCTTTTCTATAGACAGAGAAGCTCGTCATTGTTCGCCCTGGCGACCTCCTGTTTCGCACTTTGTCACTGCATCTAGTCCGACCCCTCTCCGTGACAAAGTCGCCGTCGCAAGCATTTCCATCTTTATCTTTGACCATCGTGTGACCCAAGCCTTGTCAAATAACTCCAAAACTAATAGACTCTACTTATATGTGTTAGACATAGCTATCGTTACTTTTACAGAGATATTTCAGCTTGTGCATCTGGTCTTTGAATATCCTCTTGCCTTCAGTGTTCCCTCATTTGTAAGGGGGCAGTGGTTGGATTTAGATATTCGCTCATAACGCTAAAAGGGCGGTGGGGTATCCTAATGGTTAAAGCGTTCGCTTGTCACGCCCAAGATCCGGGTTCGATTCCCCAATGTGTGAAGCCCTGGTGTCGACCGCCTTGATATTGCGGGAATATTACTAAAAGCGGCGTAAAACTAAACTCACTCACTCATCACCCTGATAATGTGGTGCAATTACTTATTTTAACACGTTATTCCCTCTTCAACTCGTGTGTGGTCGGGTAGCCTAGATTTGCCACTTCACGCTGAAGAAGCGGATTATATTTCCTACGTTGGTATACGTACAACTCGTGTCCATTAGTTCTGTATTGTCTAACGCCGATGTATCCACGTGGGTATTTTTGTACGAAGTATCTTTCTAGTGCCCTCTATGTCTTTCTGTGTCTCACTCACTCAATCACTCACTCGGCGGCCTTCGAAATAATCTGTTCGAGACAGCCCTTCACTCCCTCTCTGAAATCTCTGAAATCTCTTTATTCGGTACAGTGGTGTGGGGGATCAGCCCTATGTACAACATGGTCCATACATTGTAAGGGAATTTATGCAGGTACAGCAAGGCTATGTGACGATACAATCGATTTTGCACATTACTTGTATGGGTGTATCCAGAAAGATTAAGCATTCCACGAACAATGATGCATAATTTTATCAGGTAATTAAGACAAAGTCTTGAGGCCTAGAGGATATAACAGACTATATCCAATGCTACATGTTACAATGATACCCATACATGGGTTTAACAAAGTACAAATGTGTCTGGGTATGTCTATAGTAGTTTTGACTCCCTCTCACTGACTTCGGGGACGGTGGGGTAGCCTAGTGGTTAAAGCGTTCGCTCGTCATGCCGAAGACCCTGGTTCGATTCCCCACGTGGGTACAATGTGTGAAGCCCATTTCTGGTGTCCCCCGCCGTGATATTGCTGGAATATTGCTAAAAGCGGCGTAAAACTAAACTCACTCACTCACTCAGTGACTTCATTACACCATGCACAGATGTATTCCTCGTGACTTCTTTTTATTTGGTGTAAGGTGATGAAGTGAGCAAATTTCTTGACGAATCCATGTATATATTTGAATAACGTCTTACAGAGCTGGACATGTTGTTTCAATCTACATGCTGTTCTGCTTGAGTTTACTTCGTTTCAATGACATTTGCAAAGTATCGCAATCATGCCAGGCTTTGTTAGAAACTGGACCTCCACCTTACAAACGTTCCTATCACCAGCATATCGAGAAAGCTGACTCTTGCTCTATTAAGCAACCCTTTGTTCACACGTCTCCAGCTTTCATGAGTACATTCCCTATCTGTCAGTGATAGGGCGGAAGTGCTATTATGCCACAGAGTTACTTCCCTTTGTAAATGACTCGCGCAGGTGCGCGAAGGGTGGATCAAGCTCAAAGGGCGGAGGTTTAACGAGGGTAGACAGGTAGTGCAATTCTCAAACTAGCATCTCTTAATTCATGTCAGGCAGGATTTAATGGACATGCTGAGTCAAAGATAATTGTGTGATGACATTATAATGGCCCTCCGTCTTCTACATGTGGTGGTTTTAACTGCAAAATAAATTGGAAAACCGGCAAGAGATAAGGAAATGAAAATAATGATTTTTTAGTCTACCTGATTTGACACTGACATATTTACAAACGGATGACGTCGGGTATATTTTTACAGTTTCGCTTCTGCATCCCGCTCGATGAAGTTGCTTTATCATTGAGGTTTTAATAACCAACGTTAATACTCCGTGTGTTATCTTGACTGCCATTTTTTAATCAGTAACGCATTCTGTGTCTGATAGGAGAATTTTTAATACTTGTGAGAAGTCACTCATACGTACACAATAAAATTCTGAAATAAATATGGAATGGTAGCAGGTGAGTCATCGACAGGTAACTTTGTCATCTGGGGCGGTGGGATAGACTAGTGGTTAAAGCGTTGGCTCGTTAAGCCGAAGACCCGGGTTCGATTCCCCACATGGGTACAATGTGTGAAGCCCATTTCTGGTGTCCCCGCCGTGATATTGCTGGAATATTGCTAAAAGCGGCGTAAAACCATACTCACTCACTCACTTCGACATCTTGTCACTCTACTTACTCACTCACTCACTTCGACATCTTGTCACAAGAGTGTAGACCTCACTCACTCACTCACACACTCACTCAACTGTGTTCAATCATTGGCAATATCGTTTCTTTCTGTTCCAGATGTGAAATTCGTTCAGGACCAGAATACCTTCTCAGGAAATACAAATTTAGTGAAAATACCTTTGAAGTGCATCAATACTATTACAACGACCCCGACTGCAACGATCCCAGATACGCCATCGTCGCCCACGGGACGTATCGACAGCTCCGACAATCGTGGCTTGTACCGGGCGGGACCGAATCTGAGTACCAAGTTATCAAAGCTCACGTGATTCCATATTCAAATGACGTTGCCAAGAGTCTGCAGGTGGATTTTAACAGATCGTGCAAGATCTTAGGGACGGTGAAACTGGAAACGTTCGAAAAACAACTTTTTATGAGCACCCCTCTGGAGAATCCTGGAAAAGGACCAGACAAGACGCTTCCGAAAGATATCGATTGTTCCAATTTATTAAACTTTACCTTATCGGAGTTACAGCTGATGCGGGTGGAGATTAAGAAACACAAGACTTCTCATAGCCATGGCTTTCATGACAATGGCTTGTATCAGGGGACGGAGACCAGTGACGTCAAGCATCACGTGAGGAAGACAAACGACCTGCTGCTTGGAAGTGTCCATACTAACCGGAAGTTACGTCATCGTCATCGTCCGTCGAGCTTCCAGATTGCGTTGAGGAATTCAGAGGTTAGTATTTTCTGCATCGTGCATGTCCCGACTTTATCCCATTGTCTCAAACCGTATAAGAGATAAATTAGTTTTACTGCCTGAATGCAAAAGCCACAAAAGTTCGCATTTTTGGCGTCACATTACTCGTTTCAGGAGGTTCTATCCTCCTCTCAGAAAGGTAGGAGTACCGGGAAGGCCTATTAATTTAGCGTTGTCTTGTCTTGGATTCGATTCCCAACTTGGTAACAGTGTGTGAAGCGCATTTTTGTGTCCGGTTTTGTGTCTTCATACGGCTGGATTATTATGAAAGGCGGTGTTGGAGTCAACTCACTCACTCACCCATCGAAATATGCCTGCAAATGGTTTTTCTTTTCCTAACGTTTTTTCTGTCTTTCTATAAGTCTGTTTGGCAAGGAACAACTAACTGTGCTTATCCTTGCAATTGTCTCCAAGCGAAAATTCACTATTGGCCTTGTGAATAAATCGCTTGCTCGCCACGCCGAAGACCCGGTAACGGTTCCACACTTGGGAACAATGATGTGAAGCCCATTTCTGGTGTCCCCCGCCGTGAAGGTCCGGGTTAGAATTGATCTTCAGTAACCCATGATTGTCGTAAACGGCACTAACGGGATCGGGTGGTCAGGGTCGCTGACTTGGCTGACACATGTCATCGTATCCCAACTGCGTAGATCGATGCTCATGCTGTTGTTCACTGAATTGTGTGGCCCAGACTCGATTATTTACAGACCGCTGTTATATTGCTGGAATATTGCTGAGTGCGGCGTAAAACAACAAACAGTCAATAAATGTAGTATCTGTCAGTGTTGGTGATGAAGATAGGGTGGATACCCGACCGCCTGGTTAGTTGGTCGCCTCCACACAGTGGTTTACCATATCCAGCAATGTGATACAGCTAAAGTATGACCAGAAAATATTGAGAATTTTAGGAATATGTTTAATTGGATTTCTAGTATAAACAACCTTGACCAGCTATCAAGTGCTTGGTTTCATTCAAGAGAGACAACTCTGTTAATCCTTTTTCATTAGTTTGTGAAGAGTTATCCCCCTTTGTTTACTTGCTAGCAGACGACATTTTCAGTGATCCTCAGTATGGATGATTTAGAGAAGAGGAAGTTGATTTTAGAGTATTATAACAGGGACATCAGATCAGCTAAAGTGATTTCAAGTAGAACAGGCATCCCTTTGTTCACTGTTTATCATGTTTTGAAAAATATTGCAAATAGATATGGCATTGAGCACCAGGGAGGCGCAAGCCTGGTTTCGGACCCTAAATATGACATTATTAGATTGGCCAAGCTATAGCCCTGACCTAAATCCAATAGAAAATGTTTGGGGACTTATGAAGGAAAGTGTCAATAAGAAAAATCTGACAAATATTGCTGAAATGAAAGAAGAGCGGGTCCAATATTGGGACAGCATGGACCACGACTTTCTAACTTCTTTGATCAGTAGTATGCCCCGCCGCATTGAAGCCTGCATTGCTGCCCATGGTAACTTGACAAAATACTAACTGTTCACCTGTCTTTGAATCTGGAGTTATGTTCTGCTAATATTCACATTTAATACGTGAGTAATGAGTGAGAAAAATAATATTATTACAATCTTTAAATTCTCAATAATTTCTGGTTGTACTCGTATAATGCAAGTTATGCTGACTGCGGCGTAAAATAAATACTCCCTCAGTCGCTAATCACATGTTACCAAATCTACCGGCAAGAAAAAGGATACACCGATGTTTGATGGATGCCGAACATGGGCTAATTAAGAAATGGTTACTTCATGGTGAGTGAGTGAGTGTGTAGCCTACCTTTTATTGAGTGTATTAGGTTTAACTCACTGTGAACAGTGAGTGAGTGAGTTAAATTTACGCCGCTTTTAGCAATATTCCAGCAATATCACGGCTGGGAACACCATAATTGGGCTTTTCACATTGTACCTATGTGGTACATCATGGCAGGGGTGGAAATAACTTTAAAATTCCTAGTGTACTCTGGTACAGTGGCACATGTAAATCACTTGCCCTGATAATTTTTCCACTATACCGGCCGTTTTCTTGTTGATTTTTTAAATAAACAACATAATTAATATTGGAAAGTCAACTGGACACCGGTACAGTGTGATATACAAATTTGCTTGCCCGACAGAAAAAACCGCTGGACTCGGGCGTCGGGCAATGGGTTATTTCCACTCCTGATCATGGTGATTTGTTGAATGCGGGTGTCAAAGCTGTATCAGCCTAAGTTTGTAGTGTTGTGGCGATCGTTGGGATACCGTTTGTAATTTTAAAATGTCTTCAAATCGAATTTCTTAATGCATTTCGGTTTAACACCAAGGAAACAACGTGTTAGGTTTTTTTCTGCTCAGCTTTCTTCATTTCTCTACAAAATCACAAGTGTAGACACATGTCCTGATCTTCCCCATCTAGATCGATTAACAAACCTAAAACAATACAACCCCGTGCCACTAGTCACGATTCAAGGAAGAAGTCAATACCCGCTTCTCCAATACAGTAGATCTATCGCTGAAACATGCCGCGCCACAGTTCCTCTAGCCCGTAAACGTGCTCCCAACCCCCACTCGCCTCCAGCACTGCATTTCCTAGCGTAATTAGGCTGTCGTCAATTTTACCGCTTCCTTTGAAGGTTGAGCGGAATAATTTAGACGAAACCGTATCCTTACATTAAACGCTGTCCCCCTGTTACGACGAGCCAGTTTTTTATAGAACAGTTTTAGGTGTCAACGAGGTAATGTAATAGATCTCCAGATAACTACGTTGTGGAGTTGAGGGTTTTCTGAAAGACTCTTCTGATGGCAGGAAACCCTAGCCCCAAATGAAAGTTAAATAGATCTTGCCGTGTTTATCACACTTGAAAAGGCACAATTTGAGGGTGAACACCGATTGAAATCCACGGCGCTTCATTACGTTTTAATCGACGTGATTTTGTGGCATTACATATGTTTTAGCTTTGAAACTGTATCAAATTTTCGCTTTCCCAATCGACGTCATTTGTTACGCTTTGGTCGTTTTCGTTTTGCGCTGGCCCTTTATTGGGAGAGATTTGTAGCGGAATAGGGTGGTAGTGATCAGGAGCTAGGAATCATTACGGGAGCTCACGGTAGTATATAATCATAAACGGAGCTCAGAATGATTCCCCAGTAACCAATGCTTGGATTAGCAGGGACCTATACGTACCGGAGGGTATTTAAGTGTTGACTTTTGTTTTATGTTGTAGGTTTTTTAGTGTTGTTTTTTTTTGGGGGGGGGTATGTTTGTTTAGGTGTGTGGGTACTGGGCATGTTTTTGTTGTTGTTTTTGTTTGTTTATTTTTGTTTGTTGTTTTGGGGTTTTCTTTTGGGGGTTTTTATTTGGTTTTGTTTGTTTTTTTTGTTTTGGGGTTTGTTTTTGTTTGGGTTTTTGTTTTGTTGTTTTGTTGGGGTTTTTCTTTCTTTCTTTTTTTTTTTTTTTGGGGAGGTGTGTTTTGATTTTGTTGTTTCGTTTTTGTTGAGCGGGGGGTGCCTTGATGAATTTCTATTTGAGCAAGGTATAATTGAGCATCACTATAATTCTACTAGGGCTCATCACTTTAACTGCACTACAATTCATCACTATTATTTTTTCTACGGTTCATCACTATGATTTTTCTAGGGTTCATCACTATAACTGTACTAGATTTCATCACTATAACTTTCCTAGAATTCCTCACCATAATGTTACTAGAATTTATACATTATAGTGCTCATCACTATAATTGTGCTGCAATTCCTCACTGCTACTTAACCAAGTTCTTCTGTCGCAACAAATGCCTCTGAATCCTATCCAGTTATACTTGACAAAAGTGTTATTTTACCCCAATGTCGTGCCCACCTGATATTCGTGAGTCATTTGTAACCGGTAAATCTACAGCAAGCATGGCGTCGTGTCGTTCATTGGCGTTTACTTATATCGTAAAACGGGGTGGTGGGGTAGCCTAGTGGTTAAAACTTTCGTTTGTCTCGCGAAAGACCCGGGTTTAATTCCCCAGATGGGTACAATGTGTGAAGCCCATTTCATGATATTGATGGAATATTGCTAAAAGCGGCGTAAAACTATACTCACTCACTATTTTCTAAAACCAACGGGGATACAGCTGACATCTCATAATCGTTGGATGCAAACCCCCACAGCGAAAATTGACCTTAATATTACACCATCATAATACTCCACTATCATAACGGACGGAGTATTCTCGCAAATGTTATTTGCCCTCACACCCAGCCTAACCACCACAGCCGCGTGGAGCCATTATACACTTTATCTGCCCCAGTGATCCATGATTGAGCTTCATTTAGAACAAAACCAACTGTCCCTCTTTCTACCCCTTAGGTACAGAATACAGAATTACAACACGAACATTTGATCTCGCTAACTCGCCAAGATATACTTGGATGCAATCTGGATGTGATAAGGGACGCTTTTTTTACATAGTCTATTATTAATATCTCCATGTGCATTAACTTTGAACCTACGCGATTTATCATCCAATGAACTAATTAAATACGATGCTATAAACGCTCATACCTAAAGATATATGCTAGCGCATTTGCCTTTGATGTAACGCTAGATCCCGAACTTTACGGAATATCAAAAAGAAACTTTCGACACTAACTTTTTCATCAATAAAAACCGCACTAAGGACCCATGTTAGAGGAAATATATAGTGAGATATCAGTCTGCATAAACTTCCTAGTTTATTGTGATAAAACGGCCGGCGCTTCAATTAAAACCCTCTGTTCATTTGCGGTAGACTCTTAAACTTGTTTGTGATTATCAGCCATAACTTCATAGGTAAGATATAGCCATTAACTCTTTGTATGGTTCATCTCCGGGGTGAAGCTCGTGGTGTGTTAATAACGGTAAATTGTAGTCGGCTTCACCGATATTAAACAAGATGCGACTTGTTGCTGTTGTGGGAGTGATGTAGTTCAAGATAGTATGCGTGGGATGAAATAATTATCTT